TCCCGGTAAGACACGCAACAGTTTGCTACTCTGGGCATTTATTTTGTTGGCCTCTTACATCACAACACTAGAAAATCAAACTACCTTTAAATCAGCCTGCACACACACATTCATGTCAGCTTGGCAGAGGATAGAGGCGTTTGTCAAAGCCACAGCGACACATGAATATTGATGGGCACGTTTTTCTCACCAATATTCGTCGTATCGCGTGATTCGTCATTTAGTCACGCGATACCTGCCTGTATGTCGTGATCATAGATTGTGTACATAAGACTGAGAGAGTTGGGACATTTTAGGTGAGCAGTGGCATCCAGGCAGAGTGGGAAAAAGGTTCTCCTGTGGGTGAGACATTAGTTTACACAGAGCCAGGATTTACTGTTAAATTTCTGTCAGAATTATTCATCTAAAAGTGAAGAGGAAAAAAAAATAGAAGCAACATAAAACTGTTGTGATGGGAAGGGTATGACCATCATCAAGTGATGTGGTGGAAAATATTCAAACTGATCATAGTTGTGATTTACCGTTTCCTAAATTAACAATCATTTTCAACTTGATTTGTTTATGTATACATTTCTTTACATTATCTTGCATTTCTACACATTTTCTAGCACCTAGAGGACTTAAATTGTTTTAACTCTTTGATTTAAATTTCACGGCTTTTCTATGGTAGAAAATAAATTAAATCAGTTAAATTAGATCTAATGTCAACTTACTTAAAAAAAATAAATAAAAATACACATTCACAATTAGTTTTCTTTAAGCCAATACTAAAGCCCACCTATAGGATATCTGAGGACTTTTTCTTGCCTTGTGAAGCAGTTTTCACATTTAACCTTTAAAGCAGCATTCATTTATTGGACTGAAGGCGGCAAAACAAACTGAAGCCACAATAATGGCATACTATCATCGTCTTAAGTTGCTATAATGAATGTGCTGTTAACTTACACACCCAAAAGACCCCAAAAAACAACATAATTAACTGGATCTGAAGTGTAACAGTATAAAATAGACGGAGGTAGCCTGGAAGTGACTTAAACCTGCATTCTGTCTCACAGCCAGCAGGGGGCGACTCCTCTGGTTGCAAAAAGACGTCTGATTGCACTGAAATCTATGCAAAAATGACACGATTCTCACTTGATTTATTACCTTAGTAAACATTATCCTAATGAGTTTATGGTCTTGAATAGTAGTTTCAAGACTTTTTGAATACAGCGTGATGTTCATTTTGTAAATTATGGTCCCACTTAGAGTAAAATAGATAATAAAGCAGGATATGTTTTAGGGCGTGGCAACATTGTGAGCAACACGCCATGATAGTCTCGGCGGGTGCAATGTCATCAAGTTGTCCCTCAGGATTTGTAATGGTAGCTCACTGATCAATACATGATATCATGGTAGCTGAGCTCACCACATGTATAGATAATGACACAGACTTACCTTACTGACAAATGCAAGTGCAAACTAGACTTTTCGATTGCTCTGTTTTGGTCTACACCAACCGCTGAGTAAACAACTAACTGTTTAGACGCTAAATGCTATTAAATTGCGGTCCTCACTAGCTAGTCATTAACTGTGTCCGCCTGCTGTTTGGTGCAGAGAGTAGTGCAGCTGAGAGCTTCGTTGCCAAAAACAGCTGTCTGCTGCTTCTGGAAACAAAGAGGACAACGAGATTCAACCAAATGTTGAAGTTGCATGCTTGAAGACCGAAACATTGAGCTAAAAAGAAAAAAAAAAAAACACAATAAAACGGAGAAGTAAAGAAGATTCAAGTGACAATTTTCTGTAGATTTATTACTCTAAGTAACTCCTTACACATTGCAAATAGATTGATCTCTTGTTACTGTTAATATCTACATTAGTGCAGCTTTAAACATCTGGATTCCCAACAAACGAATCATTCCTGAATTCCTGAAATTGTACCTGATATGTACTTTTAGTTTAGCCTATTGAAACATGTAGGTCAGACTCAACCTCATGTAGCATGTAAAGTTACATAACATGCATTATTATAGCACTAGAGCTATGTCTCATTAGTACAATACCCCTCTCGGTAACAGACACGAACAGCAAAAGACCTTGACCTTAAGAAGAGTAACTATTAAAAGCTATAAATGATAGAAAGTTATTGACACACTTCCTTCGTTTTGGATGTTTTGCATTCACCAGTGGACCAATGACCACTCAAAGCCAAAAGGTACATTCTCTAATTTTCTCATCCATTAGTGTCGCCTTATTTCCAGCTGTGAAGAATTTGAAAACGCCAGAACTGGGGTGGGAGGACATTTGAGGACTTTGGGTCACCGCTGTCAGTGATAACAAAATCAGAGAATCTACCTGAGTCTGATAAGCAAAAATAAGTTCGACTGTAACTTCAGCACCCTTCATTTTCAAGGAGATTCAGGATTTTTCTTTCTTTCTTTATTTTTTTTAATAAAAGCAAATAACACAGCGCAAACAATATATATCTCTATCTGCAAATTCAGGACATGCCGAGCTGTGACTGTGTAATAATGCAGAATATTGCCCTGGGGAGTGACTAACACATTGGCCCGGGTGGCGCACAGTTTGTTTTTTTTTAGGCTGGTCACGTCACATTCCCGTCAGCATGAGGCTTGAAATTATTATGTTACCCGGAGACATTGGATTGCAGGCAGTTTGGCCTGAACCCAGCCTGCATTTCTACCACACGATTCGTCCTTTGAGCTTCTTCAAGAGATTGTAAATTAGCTAATGGAGCTGTTTCCTCACTGTCCAAACAACAGATGAGCATTTTTACTTCTCTGATTTGCAGACACAAGTGTCTCTTAGGATTTTAGGATGAATCGAAAAAGTACTAACAACACCCGATGCAGGATTTGGACGCATATACATGGACCCGTGGGAGTGTTTGAGGCTGAGGTGCTAATGTGTGGTTGTGCGGTAAAAGCCACGTCTGGCTCCACAGACCCAGTGGGCCCATAAATCACAGGGGGGCCAGCGAGTGAGCCGGCCCATTACAAAGCATAATAGGATGCAGTGTAATAGTAAATCACACTTGTTGTTCTGGTCGAGGTTGGCTTGTAAGTACCAGCTGACTGGATGGGATGAAAAATCAGCGCAGGTTTAACCACCACTGATTGGGTGTTCACATGAGGTCATATCTGCATATTTTAGCGAGGTTACAAATGAGCAATAGTTAGTTAATTCTTCTAAGTTGTGTTTTGTGTTTTTTTTTTTACAGTGCAGTCCATATAAGGACAATTTATTATCATTTTGTTATTTTGATCTTGAATCTGTACTCCATCACGTTTGATTTGGAAAAAAAATTGAAGCTCTTTATACTTTTTATATGTCTTTTGCTCATTTTCAGACACCAAAAGCAATATATTACATTAAAATGAGCTAATAAAGTTGTTATATTTAATATGTGGTTCCAAATCCAATGCAATGACTGTAGTCTCAGACATCCGCTGCTACTGAGGCTGTGGTTAGGCCTCTTTTGCAGCCTTTTTCACCTCCTTATTGTTTCAGTGTGCTGGTCTTCTGCAGTAAAACACATGATCAGTTGCTTTGAGGTCAGGTGTCAGTCTTGGTCAGTCAAGAGCATTCCACAGTTTGAGCCTAAAAACTCCTTGGTTGCCTTGAATGTTCAGGATCACTGTCCCACAGCACTAAGAGACGACTGTGTGTACAATAAGTAGGCACGTAAACACCACCGAACACCATTAAAGCTGAAAGTTAATGCAGTTTTAAAATCCAATGTGCTGTAGAGAGTCAAAACAAATCACTGTCTTAATACTCTCTGACAGCCGCTCACTGTATGTCTGCAAAACATCCGCACAGATCATTGACATTAAGAGGTAATTGTATGCCGTAGACAGACAGTCCATATGACGTCCAATCAGCAAATGATGAGTCTCGAATCTCCCACGTCTTGGAAACCTCTTGTAAAACTAGGTTGCAGTGGGAATACCACGAATTGTATCTAAAAGATGGATGAAAACGTGCATTCTTTCTAACAGCCAGCAGGGGGAGACTCTTCTGGTTAAAAAAAAAAGACATCAGATTGTACAGAAGTCTATTAGAAAATCGCCTACATCTCACTTGATTTGCTACTTCAGTCAATACTTTACAAATGCCCATACAGTAACGACTTGTCAATCACAAGGCATCTTGTATTTTGCACTAAGTGGAACAATAATTAGCAGCGATGCTGTATTGAAAAAGACTCCAAACTCATGATTGAGACCATCAACTCATTAGGGGACATTTTTGCTGAGGTAACACACTGAATAAGATCATATTTAGATCTGTATATAGTTAGACTTCTTTTTGCAGCCAGAGGAGTCGCCTCCTGCTGGATTTTTAGAAAGAATGCAGGTTTAAGGTACTTAACACATTGGTTTCATTGAATGTTTTATATCTGAATTAAAGACATGCATGTTTGCTTTACTGTTTGCTCCTTCATTTTGGTTCTTGTAGGGAGTTGGTCCAATCAGCGCTCCTGAAAATCCTCCTCTTCCTGCTGAGCCACTCAACTGTATTTGAGGCCTGGACGGCTGATCCACATCATGTATGACTGCAAAGATTTGTGAGGGGACAACATCAGAACCTGAGTGAGCCTCACAGAATTACACATTGCACTTATCACCTCTCTGTATTTCCACACACAGATATTTATATTTTAGATCTTTCAGATTTTTTAACTGGGGTGTGCATTGTCAGAAATGTTGTAATCAAGCTTTGAGAGCACAGAGCAGTTGGAATTCCACAGATCGTACACACATGGTTAACTTGAAAATGGCAAAATAAAACAGTAATGTTAAAGAGAGCTTCTATCTCCATCTGGGAAACATGTTGAATCTGGGAGTTGGCTCATTGCTGATGAGCACTACTCATGGTGCAGAACTGAATTAGACGCATTTGCAGAGAAACTCAATCCAACTGCTTGTTGTCATTTTCATTTATTTCTCCAGCTTCTCTGTCTGCTGCCTCCATTAAGTCACAGCCCTTAAAGCACCATGGGAGGGGTGGCGGTGGACACGGATGCAGGGGGTGTCAAGGCTCCAGATGGAGGGTGGGGCTGGGTGGTGCTGGCCGGCTGTTTTGTCATCACGGGCTTCTCCTACGCTTTCCCCAAAGCGGTCAGTGTGTTTTTCAAAGAGCTGATCAAGGAGTTTGGGGTGGGATACAGCGACACTGCCTGGATCTCCTCCATACTGCTGGCCATGCTCTACGGCACAGGTAGGCTGCTGCTTGGATGCACCATACATATACAGCAGGAGGACAGCTGGAATAAACATACATTTGCCCAAGCTGAAATCCAGTTTGTGTTTCGGCAGAGTTTGAACATCTTATCCTTTATCTTTCCCGCTATAATTCTGAAGACTTTCCACTATTTTAATGTGCTCTCTTCATTTTATTTTCATCTTTGTAGCTGTTAACAAATGTGAGGACTACTCAAACAGCAAATCAAAATGAAATTTCATCAAAGACAAGACTTTATGGGTGCAGTAGCTCAGTTCCGCCCCGACTTATCGATCTTGCAGTACTTCATCCCCCCGTAGTGACAGCAGCATTATTCAGCTGGTTTATGGTTATATTCAGACACCAGTTCAGGTTAACTCTTCACTCAGTGCACCAGGTTATGTCTGTTGTTCAAATGCATTCCGTCACCATTGCAAAATCCATTTAAATCATACGAGTACCACCTAGTTGCTCACTGCTGTGATTTTAAACGATTTTATTGACCTGAAATCTCCCTCGGTTACCTTGCATGTCATGACCCCCCAGCCCTTGCCTGTCTCCCTCTTTTTCTCCCTCTTCTCCCTCCTGTCTGCCTCTCCCTCTCTGCCCCTGTGCATCTTGGCTCTAATCAGGACAATCACCCTCAGCTGCAACTTCGGACTCACCTGCACACGATCACCACTGCTCCTATAAATACTCGGTTCATTCCACCACAAGCCGCCGGATCATAGACATTACAGTTGCACGTTTCTGCCAGTCTCCACTTCGCCTCTCCCTGGATTTCCTTGAGCCTGTCTGCCCCCTCTGTTTTCCCTCCTTAGTGAGCATTCCTGTTTGTGTGAGTTTTCCTGGTTTTTTGTAACTTAGAATCCGGTAGGTTTCCCCCTCCGTTCTTAGTAGGAGTTTTCTCTGGTTTTGTAGTTTTGTCCCGCAGAGGTCCCGCCGCGTCCGTCACACCGGTCTTGTATTCTGGCCATTCCTGGGCGGGTCGACACCGCCACCGAACCGTTTCCGGTTCCGGTTCCTGGGCGGGTCGACGCCGCCACCGAGCCGATTCCTGTTCCTGGGCGAGTTGACGCCGCCACACAGCCTGTTCCAGTTCCTGGGCAGGTCGATGCCGCCTCCGATCCTGTCCGTGTCTCCGAGCGGGTCGACGCCG